CAGCTCGTTGGGCCGACAGCCGTACAGATACTTTCTTAGGTATCACACCTGCAGGATGGGCGAAGGACTACTGTACTGCTGTCATCCATCATCATCATCATCATCGTCTTCACCATCTCGTGCCGCACTGCTGAAAGTGCGGAAGGGACACCCCGTCTCAACGCAATGTCGGACGCGCTCGTGCGCTTGTCGTCGCTCGTCAGGCCAAAGCTGCTGCGACTGCTACTACTGGCGACTACCGCCGTCTACACAATCGCAATGGTGACGTGGGTGCTGTCGAGTCGCCAGTCCGTGGCGACGCCCGCAGACGCGGCGGCCGAAGCGCACGCAGCGACAGTCGAGCGGCTGCCACGCGAAGCGCTGGAGATGCGGCAGCTCCGGTGCATCGGATGGAGAGCGACGCGCAACTGCAGTGCCGACGGCGCGCGCGACGTGGCGCAGGACAAACGGTGCGACGAACGGGTCGAGAGCACTGCGTCCGGCTACTGTGAGGTGGAAGACGTGGTGTCCGGCGAGAGGTTCCGCGTCCTGCAACGCGGGTGTCGCACCGTCCGGAAGAGGGCCGTCTTTACGTGCTCTCGGGCACCGGACGTTGTGGCGTTTCGCGTGGAAAGCGACCGCGTGGTGGAAGCTGTGCGTGCACCTGCGTTTCGGCTGCCTCGGAGTCGCACGCCGAGCACGGAGGCTCGAGCGGGCATTGTCATGGTCGTGTACCCGAGTCTCTTGGCGAGTGTGTACGCTTTGATCCGCACACTGCGAGAGCTGATGCACTGCCAGTTGCCGATCGAAGTGTGGTACCGCCCGGACGAGATGCGGGACGTGCCTGCCGGGCTCAAGACACTCGAGGACATGGCCGAAAAGGACGCAGTGGGTGGCCTCACGATTCGAGCGATCGACGATCTGCGAGCGGTGCGGTACGCAACAAAAGTGCACGCCATCTACAACAGTGCGTTCGACCACGTGCTGTTCCTCGACGCGGACAACGTGCCAGTGCGCGACCCGACGTTCTTGTTCGAGTCGGAGGAGTTCGTGCGAACGGGCGCTGTGTTCTGGCCGGACTTTTGGCTCCCGCAGCATACGATCTTTCACGTCGTCGAAGACTCGTTGGTGTGGCAACTGCTGGACATGCCATACGTCGACATGTTCGAGCAGGAGAGCGGTCAGCTGGTGATCGATCGACGGCGTCACGCTGCTGCCACGGAGCTCGTCCACTTCTACGCGCTTCACACGTCCAACCTGTTCGAGCAGCTCGATCTTGCGTGGGGTGACAAGGACCTCTTCCGATTCGCGTGGATCAAGCTGAACGCCCCATTCTTCATGGTGCAGACGCCGCCTGCCGTCGCCGGAAAGCTCGTGGGCGACTCGTTTTGTGGCATGACGATGGTCCAACACGATGCCAGCGGACGCGTCTTGTTCCTTCACCGCAACGCCAACAAACTGACTGGGCGACCGCACCAGCACGACGAAAAGCACCAAAGCGAACAACAGAAGCAAGTCGGCTCGACGCAACCAGATCCGGATCGTGCTGTCGTACCCGAAGACGCGATCGCACACGCTAACGCGAACACTTCGGCGCAAACACCTTTGGCAACACTCGAGAGAGCTTCCGAGTCCGACGAACTATCCGATCCAGCCATGTGGACGCATCTATGGTCGTTCCGAAACTCGTCGCCTCGCGACGACTACCGAGTCACAACATACAAAGCACCACCAGGATTTCCTTCCTGGCAAGGGTGTTACGGCCCGCGCAATTTCCGCTACAACGAGCACTTTTACGCGCAAGAGTTCGCATCCCTCGACTTTTCCGGCCTCGAGACGCACCTGAGACGTTTCGCTATGGAAGGCGCCCAACTAGTGGACACGTTTCGAGCTCCGATGGCGAAAGAGACGCGCTAGAGCATGCGACAGACCGGCCGAAGCCTTGTGGTCCCCTTCTCGTGGTCGCACAGCACCACCGACGGCCGATGATAACTGCAATGCAACTTCAACTCGAGGACGTACATGTGCGATCGCTGTTGCACGGACACTGTCGGTAGCTTTTGTTGTACACTCGTCAGGGCGACTCGGCGCGCAGAGAAGTAACGCGTCGAATCGATGAAGAGCGCTGCGGGTCGCCACGTTCTCGCGAGGGGTCGAGTTGCCGGCAAAGTCGGCGCTGTCCATGGCCAGAGGCGACCCGCTGGCTGGAACGGACCAGTCGCCTCGAGGTGTCTCTGCTTCTGGACCGTCAGTCGTCTTCATCAGCACACACGTCCACCACGTTCCTCCGTCACGTAGCGTGCGTTCCCGTGCAAGAAGAGTCCCTTCGCTCCGCGTACTGTGCTGTGGCACGCGCCGTCGCGCGCGTCGACGCAGGAAGCGAAGCGACTGGCACTGGACGATAGCGGCCGTCACAAACGAGTGGTCGGCAGAGAGTCCGCGCGACGAGTCGATCATTGCAGCGCCCACTGCGTGTCGTGCGTGTCCCTCACGCAAGTGAGACACGACAGCGCATCATCAGCCGCTGCTCACCAGTCCCTCTCACTCACTCTGTCTCTCCTACTCGCCCACTCTCTCTCTTATCCACCGACCGCAGTCGTCCGTCTCCACTCTGTTGTCTGCCGACCAAGCGGTACAGTGGCTGCCCCGCGTCGTCGACTCGCCCTCCGCTCCGCGTCAGTGCCGCCGCCAGCAGCCCATGCGAGTCGTCACGTGCGCCGCGCCCACGAACATCGCCGTCGTCAAGTACTGGGGCAAGCGCGACGTGGCGCTCAACACGCCCCTCAACGCGAGTCTCAGCGTGACGCTGCACGAAGACCAGCTGCGGGCCACGACGTCCATTGCCAGCGACGCGACGCTGCAGCGCACGCGGCTGTGGCTCAACGGACAGGAGCAGCCGCTCCCCGACCGCGTGGCCACTGTGCTCCAGCAGATGCAGCAGTGGGCCGAGCGCGTCCGCGGCGCACCGGCCGACGCGACGCGGGCGCTGCACATCGCGTCCGTCAACTCGTTCCCCACCGCGGCGGGCCTCGCGTCGTCTGCTGCCGGCTACGCGTGTCTCGTGGCCGCGCTGGCCGAGTTCTACGGCCTCTCGACGGCCGACGAGGAGTTCCCGGGGCAGCTCTCGGCCATCGCGCGGCAGGGCTCGGGGTCGGCCTGCCGGAGTTTGCACGGCGGCTTCGTGGCCTGGCGCGAGGGCTGCCGACCGGATGGCCGCGACTCGATCGCGGAGCCCGTGGCGGACGCGCGGCACTGGCCCGAGCTGCGCGCGCTCGTGTGCGTCGTGAGCGACCGGCGGAAGGACACGAGCAGCACCGACGGCATGCAGCGGACCGCCGCCACGAGTCAGCTGCTGACGTACCGCGTGCAGCACGTGGTGGCCGACCGCCTGGCGGCAATGGAGCGCGCGGTCGCGGCCCGAGACTTTGCCGCGTTCGCGACGCTCACGATGCGGGACAGCAACCAGTTCCACGCCACGTGCCTCGACTCGATGCCGCCGCTCTTCTACCTGAACGAGACGTCGCGCGCGCTCATCCGACTCGTGCACCGCTACAACGAGTGCGCGGGGCGCGTGCAGGCGGCCTACACGTTCGACGCCGGGCCGAACGCAGTGCTCTTTTGCGAGGAGCAGCACGTGCAGGAGCTCGTGGCGCTCGTGTGCCACTGCTTTGGCCGCTCGTCGTCCCCCGTGCCGATCGAGAGCTCAGTGGCGTTCGACCGCACGCCGGCGCCGGCGCTGCTCGAGCGGATGCAGTTCCCGTCGGCTGGCGGCAGTGACGGGGCCGTGGAGCGGCTACCGCACGTCCCGGACGGCCTCAAGAGGATGTACGTGTCCCGTGTCGGCGGCGGCACGCGCGTGTTGGCGGCCGACGAAGCGCTGATCGACGCAGCGACGGGAGAGCCGCTGCCGTCTCGCACTGCGACGCCTCGCGACGCTGTTGGGGTGCAGAACTTTGTGGATGTCTGACCTCTTGACGTGTGACTGGAACAGCTGCGACGTTCAGGACGAGAGGACAGTAACGACGGCATCGATTGCGGAGATGCAGAGAATCGGAGAGAGAGGGAGTGAGGAGGAAACACGTGCAATGTGACAGCACCTTTGTCGTTGGCCTCCTCGTTCTCAGGCGTTTGCAGATCACTAAAGAGACGCCGAATGGGTCTGACGGGAGATAATTCTCCAGCAACTACCGAGTCTGACTACACATACGACATGGGACGCTAAGGCCGTGGGACGTGTGATCAGAGATAGCAACAGCTGCTGCTGTGGTCTGCAAGAAGGTGGCGCAGACGACATATCGACTCGTGACCGTCTAATATCTGACCCCATTTCCCACGCTGTGGTCTCGTGTGCAACTGCACGGAGGAGGGGCATGGATCGATGTGGGTACGAAACACTCATGTGGCAACCACGAGCTCATTCGGGCGACGGGGTTTGTGAGTGCCTGAGGACTGTTGGGCCACTGCCTGCGTGGCGTCTCAATTCAATGTCCATTCGGGCAATCGTGAATACCTAAAAGCAGTACACAGCGGACACACCCCGCCGACCCATCTATACACCCGATGGGTCGGCGGGTCACCGAGCTGCACCCGACGAATTGCATCAGACGGTAGAGGACCCGTGACACAGAACTGCTTGGAACTTGTTAGAAAACTTAACGTAATGAGTCGAACGTTGAGGCCATGCCACGAATCAAATTGAACTCATTTACTTATTGCGATTATCCTAGATATTATCGCAACAGACAACGTCGTGGACTCGAACGCTATGAAGCCACACGCTGGTCCTTCTTTTGCATGTTGTGTACTGCTTTACGGTACGTCCGGCCACTACCGGTGCATTTCTACCGCTCGTCCCAGTTACACGCGTTCGAGCTGAACGCAGACCACTTTCACACCTGTCGGCACTGCGAATGCATTCTACGGGACTTTAAGTGGCGCGTCCGTGTTGCAGACAAATCCACCGCAGACAAACAAGTGCCAATGATCGCTGCACCGTTTCCATACGTGTGAGGTACAGACGTTCACAGTGTGTCCAACTGCTCCATCAAATGGTTTTGCTCGTCGACCACAAGCGCATCGACGATATCGTCCAGCAGCTCACCGTTCAACATCCGCTCAATGCCAAAGACTGTCACGTTCACGCGGTGGTCGCTCACGCGACTCTGCGGGAAGTTGTACGTGCGCACCCGCTCCGAGCGGTCGCCCGAGCCCACTTGCGAGTTCCGCATATTCTGACGCTCGGCATCGCGTTGTCGACGCATACCGTCAAACACACGGGCCCGCAAGATCTTCAAAGCTTTGGCCTTGTTCTGGTGCTGAGACCGCTCGTCCTGCACGGCTGCGACAATGCCCGTCGGGATGTGCGTGACGCGCACTGCGCTTTCGGTTGTGTTGACGTGCTGCCCACCAGCACCCGACGCGCGGTAGACATCGATGCGGAGATCTTTGGGGTCCAGTTCCACCTCAACTTCTTCGGCTTCCGGAAGAACGACGACGGAAACAGCGCTCGTGTGCACACGCACGTCGTTCACTGGTACGCGCTGCACGCGATGGACACCGCTTTCGAACTTCATGCGACCGTAAGCACCGCGTCCCGTGAGCAAGCAGACGCACTCTTTGCAGCCACCCAAGTCCGTCTCGGACAAGCTCATGATTTCAAACTTCCAGCCTTTCGCCAGCGCCACTTTTTGGTACATTTTCAAGATGTCGGACGCGAACAGACACGCCTCGTCCCCGCCAGTGCCAGCTCGAACCTCGACGATCGAACTTCGGTCGTCTGCTGCATCGCGTGGGAGCATGAGACGCACCACTTCGCTTTCCATGCGATCAATGGCGTTCAGCACCTCTCGCCGCTCGTCTTCGGCCATGCGACGCAGTTCCACGGCGTCAGCGTCGTCACTCTTTGTCTGCTCTGCAATCAGTTCGTCCAGCTCCCGCACGGATCTCTGCTGCCTCTGTAGCTCGCGCACCGCTGCGACTTTGGGCCCCAAGTCGGCCATCTCAATGGACAGCGTCGTGATGGTGTCGGACGAGAAGCTGCCATCGTTACTGTCATCACGCGAACACCACACAAGAGGCGCAAACGTCACATGAAGACAAACGTAAACCCTCGAGACATTTCTCACGCGGAAAGCAGTTCCGTAGCGTCGGCAGGTACGGACATTTGCGGCTACGACCGAACGTACTGCGACAATTTGTGCGCCAGTTCATCATAGCGGCGCCCTAAGAGGTCCATCTGGTTCAAAATGGCTGCGGGCATCGCAAAGCCCCGTGCGGGGCATCGGTTTGGCCGCCACAACGCGGGCACGAAAGGAGAAGTCCGTCGCTCGAGTCGTTGCGTGCCGAGCGCTGGCGACAGCAGCGGCCACAGCGGCCGACGCAGCCACTTGCGCAGCATTGAGCTCTTGGGTGGTGCCCGCGCGTCCTGCGAGCATGCTGTTTGGTAGGCTTCGTACGGCTGATCCGTTGATCGATCTAGACCTGAGTCGGTCTGCCTAAGTTAGCGTGGACGACAACAATCGACCACTGCGTTTGGGTCGGCTGCTGCTGCTGCTGCTGCTGATGGTGACAGCGCAGGTACATGTTCAATCCGACTTGTTCGCATCAAGTGACGATCAAACAACGATCAGCTGATCTTTGCTCTCGTCGGTTCGTCGTACGAGTCAGTGACATTGACACTACTCTGGACACTGATTGACGCTCTGGACGGCTTTTCGTCTCGCCGACATGGGTCGGTGCACCTTGAGAAGAATGTCTACACAAATGCTATACTTTGAGCTAAAACTAGAGAAGACTCGGCTCAAGCTAAATAACTTGTGGACGATCTAGGCGCAGACAGCGTAGATACAATTAGGTCTTCATAGTGCTATCTACTTCCAGAAGGCTCGTCGGTCGTGGCGTAACTCGAGTGGGCAGGACAAGAAATTGTGCCATTACGCGCTTACGTACGTAGTAAATGAAGAAGTTTGGAATAATTATAGGTGTACAAAATCATTGGATCGTTGTATGGTAGCCTCGATAGTGCAATCTATTATGATTGATTGAGAAGAGAAATGTGGCTAATGACGGGAACATCACCGCTCTGCCTAACCAACGGCACACAGAACGAGACCGTAGACTGAGTGTAAGTTACCAATGTTTGGACTGCTGACAATATGGGTTCCACGAATATCTGATACATTTTGACGTCTTCCTTGATGCCTGATTTCTGCTCGACGTACCCCAGGATGGTCGCTAGGCTGCTGATCGAGTCTTGGCAACTTCACTTATCGTTGCAAGAAATTGGGTACCCAGACACCCTTTGCTTGTAACGCCGGAGGAGGAAGTTCCCGACAAAGCATTGCATCGCTGACGAAATTTTTTTGTTGATGAGCTTTACATGCTGCGGCGACCTAACATAAATACATTCTACATACAGCTGCATTGCCATGACGTCCATGAGTAAGATCCCAGTTATATAGTCCATACTGTAGTACGAGGTGGGCGAACGCAAAAGACGCTAAAAGCCAATTGGCATACTAGAAATCATCCAGTCCGTCAGAAGGCGCGCGGTGTGAACTGGTCACTCACATACGGCCCAACAATTGGTCGTTGCCACTCATGAGGCGACGCGTGGGGACACGAAAGCGCGTGTCGCCGTCATGCACGTGAACCACGTGGTGGGCAACTTTCTCCTCTACTCTACCGCTTCGCAGCTATATGAGACTTGCCATACACCATTTCAACAAGTTCACTAATCGTGTAGCGGAGATACACAGATCCTTAAGCCAGAGGAAGACTACAACGCTCAATGAGCAACTTTGGTTCAAAGAACCCGACTCAAAGAGTCAACAGCTCAGAGAGCTAAAGTTTGGTTCAAAGAACCCGACTCAAAGAGTCAACAGCTCAGAGAGCTAAAGTTTGGTTCAAAGAACCCGACTTAAACAGCCAACAAGCTCAGCGAGCTTACGGTTCCTGTTCCAGGGGGGCCCAACGACGCACAGAGTGCACAAAGAGTAGCTGCCTTGACAATGCGTTGCTATCTCCTCAACGATCACAAGACGCCTCAAAGAGGCACGTGTCTTTTGTTGATCAAAATGGGAGCTGAATTTTATTTGTTCTTTTAACCTAAAAGAACACCTTAGAACATCGTAATTGACCAACTCGCTAATGTCCTGAATAAAACCTCTCACAATATCTCGTAATCAATGGTTGACAGACATCAGTCTTCAACAATTGATACTATGTTCTAATATCACTTTGAAAGGGGATCCCATCCCTTGTGTGCACCACACCGATTGTCGACTGCCAGTCGACGTGTAACCCCGTTACACCCTCCCCCGCCAGACTGACATTACCACAAAACGTCAATCGAATTCTTTCCTCGAAGAGGACGGTGTGTGTGCGCTTCAACCTTACGGTTGGCAAAACACGAAACACTATGGCATCGCCACCCGACAAGTCTTCGACTTTTTTTTCTTACCTCGGTATGGACGTCGAGGTGGATTATGATAGCGATACCAATGTCCATGATGAAGGGAGGACAATGTCCGACTCACCAGTGTAAGAGGCACCCTCTCATTCTGCACCGATCGATTTGCCGAGCGTGGCGAAGCCAACGTGCCATCGGCGCCGCATAAAACACCCATCGTGGGCGATGCCATCATCACGAATCTGCTCGATGAGCAATAAAAGTTGGCTATCCAACGAGAGGAGAGCGCTCAGCGCCGTATTCAGCTTGCTGCAAACCTTAAGGGTCGTCGTGGCTATCTTTTGACCCCACTCGGTGTGGAAGAGCGTATACGCCCATCGACACTTCGTTTTTTTGGCAACGAGGACCATTAGCGCTGAGCCAATATCTTCTGATGAGGTGGCGAGTCGACAGGTACTTTACAAGAGGTACCTGCAACCTCACTTGACGACTCAGAGTCAATACAAGTTGCGACTTGACACGCAAGCACGGGGTGCACCGGTTCCACCGACGAGGGGTATACCCATCCTCCTATTCGCAGGCGAATCACAGGAGGAAGAAGACAACGCGTTTGTTCGCTGTTGCATCGGAAACGACACCTCAGCAGCGTGTCAGCTCTCAGAGCAAGTGCCGATGTGGCAGACGTTCGTCCAGAACGAAAGCTCCGGTATGATCATGTGGTAAAGCGACTATGGAAATTCGCTGTAGAGGAACTAATCGCATTCCCGTTATGTCCGAGCCAGTTAACGGTTGGCTGCTCGGTCCCACATCTGGTCAGATCGCGTCCATTGGACAGTCAGACTAAAATGGATATCAGATCGGGAAGGTTGGGACCTGCGATTTTGGGTCAAGATATGAGGCGGAAGGTAACGTTGGCGATCAGTCGATCAAGAAGAGAACCGCGATCAGCAAGGCAATCGCGATCAGGTTGGTGTGGAGCACACCATGTGATTCGCGATCAGCAGGGCGATCACGACCAGGAAGCGATCGAGATCGTGATCAGTGATCAGGTATGTGATCGCGATCAAGTTGGTGTGGAGCACACCATGTGATTCGCGATCAGCAAGGCGATCATGATCAGAAAGCGATCGAGATCGTGATAAGTGATCAGGCATGTGATCGCGATCGTGATCATTGATCAGGTAGACGATCGCGATCAATTTGGTGTGGAGCACACCATGTGATTCGCGATCCGCAGGGCGATCACGACCAGGAAGCGATCGAGATCGTGATCAGTGATCAGGTATGTGATCGCGATCAAGTTGGTGTGGAGCACACCATGTGATTCGCGATCAGCAAGGCGATCATGATCAGGAAGCGATCGAGATCGTGATAAGTGATCAGGCATGTGATCGCGATCGTGATCATTGATCAGGTAGACGATCGCGGTCAAGTTGGTGTGGAGCACACCATGTAATCCGCGATCAGCAAGGCGATCGCGATCGCGATCATGAGACGATCGAGATCGTGATCAGTGATCAGGTATGTGATCGCGATCAGACAAGTATATCAGCTATGGGCCACGCAAGTACAAGATCGCTACCGTCTAGAGAGAGCGACATGTGACAAACGATGTCCAAGACATGTGGATAGGGATATGGTTGTTGGGTTTGATTGGTTAGCATTAAACAGAGTTCAATTTGCTTTAAAGTACACGTGTCGACTTCTCCTCCGGGTGAATCATTGGCCACCCGACGTCGAGGAAAGGTTTACATACTTTAATCAAGAGTTATCCCTGGATTGTTTGGCCAGGGATCAAGATCTCTCAAACAACACCCCAACTGCGACTGGACGCAGGAAACCCTTTGTGGTTGAGGACCCAAGATCGCGAGACGGCTCAAGTGGTCAGAAGGCTCGCGAATCAAGGTCTACATTTGGACAAGGCGATCTGTTACGGATCAGGGTGACTCATATCGAGCACCCCACAAGCATAAAAGTGATCGCGTGACGAATTCCACGTGATCAAACCAACCCCGATCGTGGTGTGAAGATTTCCACACCGTGATTGAACCTCAACCCCATCGCAAACACGGTCAAGTTTTCCATTGACACGAGTCCACCTGGAATAGTGCAACCCGCCCCACCGACGGGTACACATAGTGAGGAAGGCAATCAAGAACACGGAATCGGACTACCTCCTCCGTTAATTGGTCGTCCGGGCGCCAGTGGAGAGTTGGAATCGACTCCTCAAAAGAGCGATCAACACTTCACCACAATGGTGCGCGTGCCCGGATCTTCGGGTGACTCGGGATTCCACCGTGAGTCCCTGAATGAAGACGTGAAGATATACTGAACCTGGGATGGAAGCGTCGAAGGCCAAGGAATCGTCACAGACGCGTGAGTCTGAAATATTCCCAGTTCAATAGAGCTATGGTAGGGGCTCTAATGACAAGAAAATAAAAGAGGAAAATCGATCGCTTGATATGGAAGAAAAACCTCGACCCCCTCCTGAGGTCCTTTCGGGGACCACCGCGGATCGTGATACAAAGCATGATTTGCAGGGTGAAAACCCATCGGTTAAAACCGAGCAAAAATTGACCAAAGTCACACCCGCGATATCGAGAAAAGATCGATCGAGGACTGTGAGGGTGAAAGAAACAACGACCGAGCCTGATCAACTTGATCAAGTTGAGAACAAGATCCCGAAGCCGTTCAAGTTCGTGGAAGACGAGATCAAGATAGAAGGGTGGCAATATGAAGAATTGGCCAAGATGCACGAGTGGAAGATGCTCAAGAATCTACTATCAAGCGATTCAGTACTCCAAGTTCTGAAGCCAAAGCTGATCGACGAGATCCAAGGTCCGGTATCGACTCCGGCAAGTGCATCGAACATGCTGGAAGGAATCTATGGGATCATGCGACTTTTGCATGAAGCTAGATTCGTGGCGGAGATGATTGATGTGAACAGGTTCTTGAATTTTAATCAAGATCAAATTACCTGCGCATGT